CTCCCCCTCTCCCATGTCCCCCCGGAACTGTCAGTCCCGTTGTTTTCTCCTCCAGATTGTTCATCCAGCCTGTCCTATCCAGACAGGCCTGCATACATATTTTGATTGTCATTACATGTTGTTTAAATGTTGGACCGCAGGCTCTGAGAACAGCAGAGTCCTGCCTGCTGTGTACGTGACTTTCCTCAGCAGAGCCTAATGCAGGCTTGTCTCTGACCATCTGTGTTGAATGAATAAATTGTTAACTATATAAGAGATGGTTATAATTATGTAAATAAGTTCTCAGAAAAATATACTAGCCAAAAATACATAAGGATGCTAGCAGTTGTCAAGAGAGTGAGAATTATGAGTTGTGTTTTGTTTTTAACTGGTTTGCTTATTTATTTCCTTATCACTTCATTTGATTTTTTGTTTTGTTTTGTTTTTAAGAACTAAAATGATAGGCTTTTTGTATTTGTGTGTATATTCAAATAATCTTTATAATAACCAGAAAATGAATTATATAAACTGTCATGATTTTCCTAGACTTGCAGCTGTTGAGAAAGTCATTAGAATATTTAAGTAGGAAACTGTGTGGGAGCTTTCAGTGCTACGATGTGTTTTATTCATGACTTTTAGATTCTGCACTGCCAGCAGAGGCCTAAAGGGGGATTTCCTTTCCTGAATAAAGCTCACACTTCTCACACCTTTTTTTCCCAGTAGCAGGGATGAGTTTACACTGAGCCATTTACAGGCTCTACTTCAGTCTCCCCTTTAACAAAAGGGCCCACCCTTGTATGTCAGATAGCCCAGATTAAGTGTATGGGTTACTGCATGACCGAACATGAAGCTGACACAAGTATCAAATTCTTCACCTTGGCACTTCAGTTTGATTTTCCACGTTCCCTGAGACCATAGATGCCCCAGTTGTGGGGCTAGACTAAAGATAATTTTAGCTTGTAAATGTGCAATTCTAAGTTCTTATTGCTAGATGTCCTTTTCTGGGATCACATGACTGTCACTGTTGTTTTCTGCAGGTTGCTATTGCCGGGGCCCCGGTCACTCTGTGGGTCTTCTATGATACAGGATACACGGAACGCTACATGGGCCACCCCGACCAGAATGAACAGGGCTACTACTTAGGATCGGTAGCCATGCAAGCAGAAAAGTTCCCTTCCGAGTAAGTTCTAGCCTTCAAATTAAGGTTATAATTTTATAATTGTATTTTTTAAATTATTTTGAATAGTAATGAAGCCAGAAGCCAAACTCAGTGGCACTGAGTGCAGCCCTCCTCCTAGCGACCATGTAAAGCAGAGAAGACCTGCCAGCAAGTTGGTAAGATTAATGTCTCCTCCTCGGAGCGGCTGCTGTGCTCAGACTGCTGGCCTTTGCTTAGCAACGGAGGGTTTAACCACTGCACCCCCAGGACTCACTCCAAGTCTTAGAAGAGCAGGGTTAATATTTCGTAGAACACTGGAAGAGCATGGTTCTTTATCAGAGCTGTCACGTGCTTATTTTAGACTTATTTATACATCAGTTCATGTAATTCGCTTTTATAACATGTATTTAAAGCAATTGCTTTAGGATGGAAAGATTGTATCTGTTTTGCAAATAGTGTTATATTAGAAAGTGTTTATGTCTTTTTCTAGCTATGTGGTATGATTATTGATGTGTACTAGTTCTCAGGAAACTAAACACATTCTTTTTCTTTTTTTTAAATCTTTCATTAGGTATAGAATCTGGTTGCAATTTTGTTGAACCCTTATTCTAACTTTAAAGTATAAGGAAATTACCATAGTTAATTGAGATTAGTTTAAATGAATTGCTTTCCCCTAAGACGCTATGTTGTCTAATCCTCTGATCTTTCTGTTTCTCCAGACCAAATCGTTTACTACTCTTGCATGGGTTCTTGGATGAGAATGTCCATTTTGCACATACCAGTATATTGCTGAGTTTTTTGGTGAGGGCTGGAAAGCCATATGATTTGCAGGTGAAGGATTATACATTTTCTAGTTAAAGTTGTAACTAATGACTAATAACTTTGAAATCAAATAAACAATGGGAATTTTATAAAAGAAAACAAACTGCCATGGAGTTGATGCTGACCTTATGAAAGAAAGCCAAATTTTCAATTTTGGCTACTTTCTAATAGACAGTCATACCGCCTGTCCGGCCAGTGACTGCTGCCCGTCGGTAAGCTCGGGAAAGATGGCAGGGAGTCAGTTAGTCACTGTCTGCCTTTGCTTTGCTCCTTTTCCTTTGAAGGACAAGAAAATGCTGCTTTTGCTTTTTTTTTTTAAATGCTGCTTGATGTGACTCTTTTTTAATTTATTTTATTTTTCAAACCGTTTTATTGGCATATCATTCACATGTCATACAATGTGATAGTTTGATCACATCAAGAAGAGTTGCGCAATCAGTTTTAGAACATTTTCTTCATTCTTGTACTCATCTTTGGCTCCCCACTTCTCCCCCTCCTCAAGGAGCCATTAATTCAATATTGCCTCTGTAGGGTTACCTATCCTGGATTTCATATACAGAAAAACATTAAAAAGAAAAACTGGCAATAATAACAAAGTAAAACACATTTTAAAACCTCATAGAAAAGCAGAAAATATTAAAAATTAGAACAAATTTAAATGGATCATTAGAGCGATCAAATGATAGGGTGCTAAGTTTTAACCTAACGGCATCTGCTGCATTGATGTGATTCTAATTAAAGGGTTTTTAGGCCTAACTACATATTCTTTCTTTTCTTTTCTTTCTTTCTTTCTTTTTTAAAATCATATATTGGCTTTGGAGCAGAAATCAGCTAGTTACCCGTCTCCATTGATCCATTGCTTTAAGAGATTTTTTGAGACATGGCTGGGAAGTTCCACCCTCTGTTCTGTTCTACACCTTGCTTAGTTTATGTGCCCTGAAGAAATGAAAAGTATTTCTTTTTCATATTTCAGTTGACATTACATCGGTCTGAAATATTTGTCTACAACACTAGTTCTCAAGCTTTTTAGAGTCCCTTTATATTCTTTTTTTTTTTTTCCTTTATATTCTTAAAGTTATTGGGGATCCCAAAGAGTTTTGTTATTGTGGGCTATATCTATCAGTTCTTAACACATTAGATAGTAACAAGCAATTTCAATATTTATTAACTCATTCACACAATAATGAACCTCTATATTAATACAAATAGCATTGTGTTACAGCTTTTGCAAATTCTTTTATGTCGGGATTAATAAAGCAGACGCTTGAGGGGGAACAGGGGCTGACAGCACTGATGACCGTGTAACCCACGCGGCGGGATCGAACAGAGTCGTATGTGACTGGGTATGTAGGATTGTGTAAGACATGGCACTACACACACACACACACACACACACACACACACATATACACATGCATACATGTACATATACTTATATACTCGAGTATAAGCCGACCTGAATATCAGCCAAGGCACCTAATTTTACCACAAAAACTGCATTAAAACTGTGCTGAAAGACTCGGCTTATACATGAGTATATACGGTGTGTGTGTGTGTATGTGTAATAGGGGGAGGGAATAGAATAAGGGTCCTTGAGGGATGTGATGGAGGAGGGAGTGGATAAAGGGGAGCTAATTTCAAAGAGTTCAAGAAGAAAGAAAATGTTTTGAAACTGGTAGCAATTGCACAATACTGTTTGATGTGATTAACCATGGAATATTAGGATATCTGTAAGAGCTCCCATTAAAATGATTAAAACATTTTTTTAAAGAAGAAGACACTTGAATTCTTCTCTCTTCTACATTCAGTCTGCTGTGCTGGGTTACTTGGCTAGTTTATAGAAGGAAAATGCACTCGAGCTTAACAGTTGTGAGGATGACGCAGGACCTGGCGTGCTTCGTTCTGTGGTTCATCGGGTCACTGGGGGTTGGACTTAACTCAGTGGCATCTAACAACACATAATGCAGACAGATGGATCACTATGTTGCTCGCTACCCAATGCAATGCCAGTGTAAATGCCATACTGCTCTCGTTTCAAGCTAGTTTGGAAAGCAATGGGCTGTGCCACATTTCAGGGTTCCTCTGGCGATCAGGAAAAGTCTCCAGAGCTTTGGTTGCAGTGGCGCTCCAAGAACTTTATGAAAAACATTAACACACTGTTACTCATTTTTATCTCAAACAATGTGGCCTGAAACCATCCTTCTCTCTTCTTGGGGATTCCGAAGTAGCACACGAAGGGAAAGAGCAAGTGGTAGCTTTCATTTGGAGCATCCTTGACAGAAATACCATCTACTTTAGTTGTTTGTGGGTATCAGTGATTTTTTAAAAAATTATTTTATTTGGGGCTCGTCAGTGGTTAGTTTACATGTGAGTTTACCTTGAACAGATGCTATTTTCCAAGACTCTCCTGAAGCAGATGTAAGCAAGGACTCTCTTCAACTACTAGATTAGATGGCACTGAAATTTATGAAAAATAACGTGTATCTGATAATATTTTAAAAGAAAGGAAAATGCAGCCTCACAGATTATGTAGTTAAGACAAGAATATTTTAGCCTTTTCAGATTATTATAGCTATTCTTCACCACTATACCAAAACTTGTCAATTGACAGGTTTGTAAAGGTTAACTATAGTCTGAGATCTGAAGGTGTATCAGTAAACGTTTTATTTTTATTTTTATTTTTTAATTTTTTTTTTTTGTAGATAAGAAAGAGCTTTATATAAGAGAACAATTGTATATTGAGAAAACATCCCAGCCCAGTCCAGATCAAGTCTATAAGTCCAATATTAGCCCATATGTCTGATTCCAGTCTATAAATTGCTCTTCAGAATCATGCAGCCATGCAATAATGCCAAATGCAGGAAGATCACAGGCCAGTGGGTGGAAGAGCCTGTGGATCCAGTGGAGGTGGAAGCATCTCAGTGCTGTTGTGGGTCTCCTGATCGTTCCTCCAGCTCCAGGGCCCTGGCTCCATCAGCATAGCTCCATGTGGCTTGTCAGCAGGAAGACAAAGCAGAGAGTGTGTCTGTCCTGCCTCCAGTGAGCTATTTATCTTCATAGCACCTCCAAATGAGGTCATCAAGCTGCGACTTGATTGACAAGCTAAACCCCACCCCTTCGTTCTGAATAGTCTCAAGTTGACACCAGATTATGTAACTACCGCAAGGCAATTTATCCAAATTGGGGAAAGGGGATGCTCTAAGACTGATGTGGTGACTGTACCTGATAAGATTGAATGACTGAACTATTGAATTATTGAATTGTATGACATGAAAATTATGTGCCAATAAAACTGTTGGGAGAAAAAAGAAGAGTTACATTCTTGGATACTCACAGAGGCAGTTCTACCCTGGACTACAGGGTCACTCTGAGTCAGAAGTGACTTGATGGCAGTGAGTTTGCCGTTTGCTGTTATGGACCAAGCATTGTGCTGACTGCTTATGCCAGGCGGGCTTTGGTGTTTCTGGTGAAGATGAGCAGAAAGAAAATTGGGGGAAGGATGTCAGATGGTGCAGTGGACAGTTGAGAATGCTGATAAAGCCCATTCTGAAAACTGGCAGGAAGTCTCTAAGCAACTGAACCCACAGGTCAGGGCATGCCTCAGAGTGCATCTGATTAGAAGGCTACTACATCTAAATAATCGCCTCTCCTACTTTGGACTGCTGCAGCTTCCAGCTGGTCAGCCTGGATCAGGTGGCCACATCCTAGCTTCCAGAGAGAAAGAGAATCTGCCCTTAGTTGGCGTTCTTACTGGGGCAGAGCATGGCTCACCACAGCCCTTGTTCTGGAGACTCTTCACCATGGAAACCACGTGGCCGAGTCTGTCCATGAGCAGGTTGTCTCAGCTATCCAGCCTCAACTGTGGAGGCCCCAAGCAGAGCTCCCTCAGCAACCGGAAGTGTGACATGCTCCACCCGTCCAAGACCCCTAACAAAGCCAACCCACTACCACCAAGCTGATTCCATGGTGATTCTATTAGGACAGAGTAAACTTCGAAGTTGACTTTCTAGTCTCAAACCCCTGCTTCCTACATTAATAACAATAGCAGCAGCAACAACAACAGGCGGTTTCCAACTCCATAATACGCTAAGACAACTGACAGTTCACTGTGAAATGGTTGACTCTTCCGGGGGTCATCTTCCACTATATTTCAAGAATACTCAAGAGTATCAAATCCTGGCCTACACACACTCACACACACACACACACACATACTCTCACACACACACACACATACACTCACACACCTACTTAACTGCAAGCCCAAATCTAGTTGTTTCCTCTTCTCAGTTATCCAAAATCCCATGATATCAGAGGCAGTAAATGTTTTATACTCTGTTAAATTCAAATCTTTGGCTCGCGCACTTCAAATGGATCTTTCACCCATATGCCAGCCATCTGGATTTATCTTCCAAATATTGGCTCATTTTGTTATACTGTTTAAGAGAACCAACAAGCGCATGAAAAAATGCTTGACATCATTAGACCTTAGGGGAGTTTACTCACCAGTTCTTTTTTATTAGTGCAAATGCAAACACAAGAAATAAAAGTACATAATGTCTTAGTATTGTTCAAAAGTAATTTTGACCTCACACATCCCTTGGAAGTGTTTGCTGAGACCCCAGAAGTCTACAGAGTACACTTAGAGTACTGTTGTTTTACAGATAAATCCTCTGTCTGCCGAATGGTGCATAGGGCATGTTAAGAAGAGGAGAGGAGCCTTTACATGAGATGTATATGTGTGATGTGTTGCATATTTTAATCATGTTAAATACCTCTGAGAAGCATGGCAAGACCAATTACTAAATTCTTATGTTTTGTATTTTGTGTCTGTTGTTGCTCTTCAGATCTATCCTCAGGAAAGACACAGCATAAGGGTTCCTGAATCCGGAGAACATTACGAACTGCATCTTTTGCACTACCTGCAAGAAAACCTTGGATCACGGATTGCTGCTCTGAAAGTGATGTAATTGTGACCCATGTATAACACTCATACACTGGCTGCTTAACCAAATGAGGTGAAATCAATTGCAAACATAGAACTGATCATCACATTCCGGTACCTGCCACATAACATCTCCTTCTGAAAGTTAATCCGGTGCCACGCAGGTGCCTGCAGCTTGTGGATAGTCATCTGATACTATAAACACACACACACACACACACACACAATTTTGAATGGCATCTATTTCTAAGGACCCCGATAATACCATGAGAATTAATGAAAGAAGTATCATATTTATATCACATATCCGTACGACCCTACTTTCACTTTGAAAAGCATTATAAACCTCATGGATTTAGTTAGTGTATTTTTACAGTATATTTCTGCGTTTGTTAAATAAGACATTAGTGATTGGTTTGGATCAGTTCCAGCATCGCTGACGAGTTACAGATTTGATAGCACTTAGATGTAATTGATGCTTATGCTTCATTGCCGGGTTGTATCCAGCATGTTATGAGCTAATCACTAGTAGCCCTGGCTTCCCCAGTCATTAATGATTTTCACGGGTAACTTAGTGGCCTCCGAAAGACACTGACTTTGTTCCTTCAAGCTCCGACCAGTTTTTAGCCGATTTAAACTGGATCCTGTAGAAACGGTTCCCATATTTCTTGATGACAGTGGGTTTTTCCTTTCGCATAAAGGCGAATAACTATGTAGCATGGATTTCATTTGTCTTATGATACTGATAATTACTGACAGAAATTTTAATCAAATGATTAGAGCTTAAATACTTGCAGGCATTCCCCCCCCCCACACACACACATAGTGAAAGGGGAAAAAGTCCACACTTGTTCTTCAGAAAATGTAGTGACGCCCATTTCCGTTTTGTCTTCCTCGTTGCAGTGTTCCATAGTTTTAGGAAGCGGGGAGTCCAGGGGCGAGGGAGACCCCAGGGCCTGGAGCACGAGGGAGAGGAGGAGGTGCTTAAGAAATAAGCAGAGGTATTTACAGATACTAATGACAAAGCTTGGGTATTGGAAATCACTCTCTTACCAACAGCTCCAGTCAGGTTTTAATCCGGGGGCGGAAAAGTTCCTTAGAGTTAACTTTTATTCGAAAATTGTAGGGTTTCTTTCTTCTTAATTTCAAAACCTTACAAGTTTAAACTTTATAATTTTTAAATTATTTCATCATAAAGAGCTATTTAGGTATAATGAGCTTACAGGGAAAAGGCATCCAGCAGATGTGTTTAACATAAGCGGATCCCCAGCCAGTCTGGCTCTTTTTAGTATTTGAAGCCTGTAAACCGTTTCCGTGAATGTCCCTGACACGGCCCTGGTTTGCTCCGGCCCTCGAGTGTTTGCCTCTCCGGTGCCCACTGCGATTTGTCTTCTTGAGTGTGGGGCTGCCTGGTCTTGTTGGAGCCAGGGGCAAAGAAGGCATCTGTGGGCTGGATTTGTGCATCTCAAGACTGTGTTGGGAAAGTTGTTACCTGTCCTTTTCAACAACCGTCCATGAAAAACCACCCTGTTCTCACCTGGCACTGCAGGGAGAGTCCATTTTCTACAGCAAGAGCGCAGCACCGCTGGTCAGCAAGGTGACTGTGCGTGGGTGGATTCCATCGCTGAGGGCCAGGTGGAGGTTGGAGAAGTCCAGAAATGTCAGGGTGACCTGGTGGCCATGCCCTTGGAAAGGGACTGGGTTATTCTGTTTGTGTATTTATACTGTATCATAGATACCATGGTCTCCCTTATTATCTGTATATATATATTGATTTTCATGTTTGATATTTTCCCCCATATCAAGATTTGTTTATTTTTTTTCAATGTTAAATTAAATTGATTTGGGTAACCTTTTTTCCCCAAGAAAGTATTTTCCCCTGCGATTTTAAGTATGTCCCTGACTACCAAGGGTGGCCTTTACTTTTGGGGGGCTATGTGGCTTCTAAGGATTTATTCTTAAACCGTGCACAAAGTAGAAATGTTACATAGTGGGTTTCAGACAGTATTCATTTACACTATCTTGCTCATCGAGACTGGGTAATATCATCTCTCATTTTCCAAAACAGCCCGTGGAAACTTTCACATGCTCTTGGAATCATAAGTGTTTGCCTTTTGCATCTTGCCTTCCCCTTTTCTCCCATCACCTCTCCTTCCTCTATCACAAGGAAGGCCTCTGAGGCAGCTGTCGTTTAAATGGCTGTCTTAAAAATCCCTGACTGGATTCACTTGCAGAAAGATGTGACTGAATTTGCGTTAAGGACAGATATGGGAAACATTTCAGTCAATTCAAGTGACCGGTAAAACAGACAAACAACTTTCCCAACTAAAATGTAAAGTGTGAAAGTAGCAACAGTTTTGATGAGAGCCAGCAAGCGGGAGGCTGACCTGAGACATGTGGTTTTGCCAGCTTGATAAATCGGTGTCCCTGAGCAGCCGTACACAGACACAGCTACTTGAGCATTATGGAACCGAGGCACCCGAAATCCAGGACTCATCTGGGATGCTTTGCTTAAAAGAATTGGAAAATCTTGAACTCATTCTTAGTACTTTGGACCCTCTTGATTGGGTGGGGACCGGAAATCTGCATTGTTAACATGGCCTGGGTGTTTCTAACCCAAGTCCTGGACAGACTACGTACAACAAAACTCTTGGGTAGAGACTGGAGTTGGGTTAAGACTACAGTAGGTGATTTTGACCCTGGCCTGATAGGCAAGCTCCAAAATCGGCGATTAAGAAAGCTGCTGCCGTGTGTTACCTCGTGGCTCTTCTCCTGTCGAAAGAAAGAGGCAGAGTTGGCTGTGGGAATTCAGTTGAGAATAAAGGTTTTTCCTCTGTGCCGTTCCCGGCTCTTCCAAACGCTCAGACAAATGATGACGTCGCAGTGAGTGCATTACCCTTTAACAGGCTGAGCGAGGTTGGTGCAAACACGCGTCCTCCTCTGGTGTCAGTCCTCACGGGAGGTCTGACCGCTACTTTGTAGATTCCTATAGCATGAAGTCACTGTTACAGAAGCATGATATTTCCAACCTGGAATAAATCTTTGCTATAACCTGAATTAATAGTAGAGGAGGAAGCTGCGTGCTAGAGAGAGTAGGGGGCTCACCATCCGTGCTACACAGCCACTTAATGTTCACTTGGCACGAGACTGCCCAGGTTCCCTGGGTCATGGTAGTTAAGTGATACATAGAAAAGGCACGATTTTAAATATGTATCAATATATTCCTAGAAAACATTTTGAAAGTAACTGCATAAAGCGGTTATCACATCCTACAGTAAATACCATGCTAATTAATGAAGCAGTACTTCTGATTGGCATATGACTTTCTGAAGATGATTAAAGTAGTTAACACTGACTGTATCTTCCTTGATGTCGTGGGTGATTTGGGGATTGGAGTATAGAGTGGAATGCTTGAGTAAGCCTGCCAGCCCTGTCTACGGGTAGCTGAAGTAAAAAAAGAGGCATGACCTCGTCTCAGCTCGTAAACAGTGGCTGTCCATTTCCCACAGAGAGAACAAGAAAACGTCCAACCCTACCCAGCTTGCTGGGACATCTGGCAGCTTGAAGTGTGTCGGTGTGTTCAGGCAAGGTGCTGGCTCCTGCTTCCTGGAGATATGGCTAGCTAATCATTTCAGAAGAAAAGTCATCCTTTTTTGCTTGCTTGTTTTTAAATAACCCAAATACAAATTTTTGTGGTCTTCTGCACAATTGGAGTTCAGGTCTGTAATTTTGGAGCGTAAAGTGCCTGCTGTTTGAAGCATTGACTTGTATGAAAAGAATGCATGTCTCCGGTAAGCGTATAGGCTTTCTCATTTGCAGCTACATGCCTTCTAATCATGTAAAGTGAAACATCCGTTGCATTTTATTACAGGTTCTTTGTTGCAATAAAGATGCTGCTAACATGAATTGAATTACAAATATTCCTTCACCACTACCACCACCATCCCCCATTTGAACAACTGTGGAGTGAGGAACACACATGAACAAGGTCATGTGCTTGCAGGGAAGAGGGGAGATTGCAGGGGGAATGACAGGGGTTAAAAGTATACACTAACAAAAATTCATTTAGACCCAAAGAACTGCCTTGTGTATATAAAGGGGTCCCAAAAACCAGCAGGCTGGTAGTGCAAGGGCAGGTGGAGCTTGGTGCCAACAATTAGCAGACCCCTCTAAGCAGCAGGGGAAGCTTCTTGAGACTTTGTAGAGGAGTTGACAGCTTTCTTTAACATGTACTGGAGAAGCAAACGAATCGTTCTAAAATGAGTGAACTATGATAACCCCCCAGAACAGAGACTTAGACTGGATTCTGTAACCCTCAGAACACTGCAGGAGCGCAGAGCGGTGCATTACTCTGAGCAGAAAGGACTAGGGATCCCCTGAGGTCAGCAACTGCTGCTGTTTTAAAGGTCTTAAACGTTTTGCTTGTCTAGCAAAGTTGATATGAATAAAGATGACCAAGGCTTCATTACCTTTCACCTCGTGACACAGAAAATGATTTGTATGGCGCTCTGGGATGAACTGAGATGCCCTAGAACAACCATTTTAGGGTGCTGATGGCCAGAAGTCCACCCCTGCTCTGAGGAGGTTGAGGATGTGAGCATACTTAGAGTCCACTCATCTCTTCCAGTTGGGACCCTTTATGGCCTATAGACAGCGGTGGTTGCTGAAATCTGGCCATCCCCATCCCACAAAGACGAGCTGCAGACTTGGCAGCAGGTAGCTTGGGGGTTATCAGTGAGTGCTCCGGAGGACCCGAGGCCTTTCAGCTCACCTACAGGGAGACGCTGCCCGTCCCTGGAGCCTTCTCTTGAGCAGAATTGAAACAGCTACAATGTGAGAATCTCAGAAGCAGAGCATCTTTTGTTTTTTGGAGGCTGGGGGAGTCGTTTGGGGAATTGCCATAATTTAAATGTTCATCAGCCTGGTTCTGTCCACATCTTTGGTGCCCTGGCCCTGCTACTCTGGGAGAGATTGAGCTACCATGAAGAGGAATTGCAAGGGGCGGCGGGGGCGGGTTCTGCATGCTTGGCATGACACTGAGATTGTCTCTGTGAGATGCTGACTCACTCCAGACTTGAGTTCTTGAAATAATGTTGAAAAGCAATGAACCTAGATGGTTGTCCTTAGCCAGGTTCGGGAACTGGCCCCATCATCCTTTGGGTGGGTGGGGGCATAGCAGAAATTGCATCGTTTAATGTTTTATTCACAGATGATACTTCTGTGTAGGGAGTGTGTGATAGTACTCCCTGACCAGGGAGATGCTGGGAACCCCCCAGTTCTGTAAAACAACTCCTTGTTGGGTCGGCTTCTGTGCATAGCTAAAGTGGGCATCATTGCATCCCTATGTGAGCACTACTATCTGAAGCTCACTTCCTGATGTGTGTGCCTCATAGGTTAATTGATTCAAATTATTTTAACTGCCCAGCCCCATTCTCTGTACCTCTTCTTGCCTAGTTCTGTAGCTTTCAAACCAACTTGAGTTGGAGTTGAAGAGTTAAATTCCAAGTGGCTTCAAAGAGGTGGTTCTCAACTTTCATTCAGTGAATATTTAGGAACACATCCCACTATGGACAGCTGTTCTTGAACAAAGAGTTGAAATCCATTCACTGGGGAAGAGATGTCTCTAACAAATGTTGCTGGTAAGATTGGAGATCCCTTTGCAGGAAAGTGAAACAGAATCCATACCTCATACCATACATAAAAACTGAAAATGGAT